ACCCAACTTAGCCCCCACAAGCCTCCTCTCCTTAGTCGCCCCCTCCTCCCCTCATCTCCCTTGGAAATCTGAAATCTCTCATGAGTTTTGGAGCCACGAAAAGAAGACTAACTACTTCCTCCCTTCTACCATCGGTGCATGGCCGACCCTAAGGTCGACCATGAATTCGCCTACAATGCTCAAGGAGAAATCGACATCTTGTTTTCTCCTTTCTATAATCCGAATTGGGATTACGAAGATTTAGTAGAAAGCTACGTAAACCGCATACTCTATTGCCTCGTCGAGACGATTGAAGAGAAACGACCCACGAGCATTGGCAAATCGTCGGCGGACCAACAACTTCTCTTCCTCCGGCTACTTTGATGAACAAGACCCTATGCGTCACTTGTCTTGTGGTGACATCACTAGGGTTGCTTCTACCCTTTCTCCGCTAAACCCCAACTTCAAGATCAAGGGTGAACGAACTCAGGGTGAACACTTTTTGATGTTGCACCGTGAATTTTTTTCGTTGCTATTTTTATTTTTGTTGTTACTTGCCATTGTCTTGTTATTCTCCGTTGTTATGTCTTGCTATTACTTGATATTCTAACGAAAAATTCTAAGAACCCAACTTGGAGAAACATAAGGTTTTAATTAGCATAGTTAACGTTCAAACTATTGTTAATTTCCAAAAGCAATTCTTGTTCACTTGTATGTTTCACATCATATGATCATAGCGGTACCGTTTGACAGAGCGATAATGGCAACAAGGTGTCAAGAGTCAATAAAACTAGAAGCATTTATAGCCAGGAGTGGTGGTGGTTGCTATTTAAAATTACTCAAAGCACCTAAAAGTAGTTTAGAGTGTTCTTAAAAATAACTTGATCTATTTCAAAACAAAAAATAAAAGTAGTTTAAAATACAATAAACAAACATATTTTTTTAAAAAGATAAACAAAAAAAAAAGAAAAAAAGATGCTAAACATATCCTAAATAGTTGAAAAAAAATTCATATAATCTTACCGGCATTTTTTCTCCTAGTATATTAGGAGCATTGCTAGATATTTGCACAATGGGAGGATTGGGCATAATTCCGGTGAAAAACACCTCAAGGCTTACGCCTCGAGCTTTTTTTATGAGACATATACCTTGAGATGCGTCTCACCTCACTAGCATGAGGCGTATGCCTTACCTTACATAATATATATTATTAAAACTTACCTAAATCCATAAGTAAAGCCCCAAACAAATCACACCATAGATGACCTTTATTTTATCCTACAAACTCGAACTACACCACCAACTCATTTAGTCCCAAAAGCTCCACCTATTCCAATAGCCCCACCGATCCCAAAACCTCCACATGCACATATTGCCAATGATGTTGATCAATCGACTGTGAATGAGCTTGGGTGTACGATGTGCTTGAAGTTGAGCCTAATTTTGTGCTCCAGGTCAGAATTCAATTAGTGACCAAGCATGAGTATGAGAACAAACAAAACATAAATAATTCACTAGCTACAATTATTGCCCTGCCACTTAACTTTGAGATACAGAATGCTGAATACTCAGCTACAAATGTTTTATACGTTATTTTATTGAGCCCAGTCTAAGGCGCCATCAATCACTGTTATTATTCATCAAGATCTTATAGAAATGAAGAATATTCAGCAACATCCTATATTTATTCTCGCTCCATCACCAATTGCATGGTTTGACTTTATTCAAACTTTGTCGCCACCACCAATTACCCATGTGATTCTAATTCAAATTGTTAATCAAATACAATGAAAATATAAAAGACGGCATACAAAATCAGAGTCACCAGATTATTTTATAGGTTTATAATTTATTCCTTTGTTTTTTACTTTTTGAAATGTCAATATGCAAGTTTTGCCTTCAACAGTATCATGGCTTCAACCTTAAAACTCTTTCGAGAGAAGCTTTTACGACCTGATTGAATTGATGCAAGATCACCACAACCTCTAGTTTTTCAACTAAATCATCACAACGACCATGTGTCTTTGTGGGCTTCAAAACATGCCTGGTGCTTTATAGTTTTGGACTGATTGTGTTGATCAATATACTCTATAGGGCCACGGAGATCAATGGAAAGCATATTACGTGTATATATATAGTATTGAATATTTCATCACAAGGCCAAGATTGAGCTAAGACTTGAGGAGACTTTGGAAAAGACCGAGCAACGTGGATTGGCTTTGGATGGTATAATGCCAGAGACAAAAGTGGGCATAGAGATCATGATACGATTGAACATAATCATGCTATTGTTGATAATACTATTTATGATTATCATGACATGATTTACCATGATCATGATATTGACGATGAGAATAAACATGATTAGCACGAATTTGTCCCTTTGAATGTTATAAAAAGGCGAGTGCAAAGAGTGGAAAGCAACCTAATGTGCATTCAAAATGATAGGCAAGGAAAGAATGTTAAGAAAATAATATTGAATCGATGCAAAACAACATGATAACAACATCCTCTAGTTGAATGCTCATTACACACCCTAAGTGATGTAGCATAAACGCAGAAATTTGAGGTAATTCTATTGCATTGAAACTAATTCTTTATAGCCATTATTCTTATTGACCCAAAACTTAACGCATATACTTGCAAACCTTTTATATGCCCTATTCCCATAACCAAAAAGTCAAATGCAGAAATTTGAAAATTTAAAATGGCTAACTGTTGAATTTGAACTATTTAATCCCACATAAGAACAACTCAAAATATTGACATATAAACATAACTCCGGAAAGGTGCCTTGCCCAATGTAAAAAAATCTATCACAAAGAAGGTTAAGCAGAAGATAGAATAGATCATTCTTCTAACAAACAACTAATGAGAATACGAATAGAAGTGACAAAAAAAAAGGTAACAACTGTTGAAAAAGAAAATACCATCCCTCTACGTAAGTATCATTCAAGATTTAAAAGAAAATAATATTAAAGAAATAAAAAACCTTCACTCGCATGGAATAATAAGTGTATATGACTTGCAGGTGGAATAAGATAAAATCAAAGGATACCTATAGGCTAATAGATTTTGAAATCTACGCACCTATATCAGTAGAAAAGCACTTGTTGGGTGTTGCTTTCTTAAAATGAATTTTGATGTGTTCAAGGTTCTTGGATCTATTGAAAAAGAAACAAAAATAGCTCTTCTGTCCTGACAATATGAAGAACAAGTCAGTTATCAATTCTAGAAAAAGCTGAAATTTTTAGTGTTGGAAAAATTCAAATCGGATCAACCAGGGACCAAGGGAGCAAACCAACCTCATTCTTTTGAGTATTTGTTCTAGCCTTCAAACAAAATATTCAGCCACTCAATGCCCATTAAGAATCAACGATAACTCCAAAGGAAAACGAGAAAACTGCTGGTTTCAAATAAAAAATCTTGAATTGATAGTTGATCTTGAGTTCTGCCATTTATCGAGTAACCCTTCTCTCATACAACATGAAATTCATGGCCCCAAAGGATCAGAAGAATTCACAATATTAGAACTTGCCCAAAGTCTCTATTGCATTAGCAACAGCTAAAAATAAATACCAATGCTGATGATGGACTACGAGATTGGCAAATCAGATGATCTCCCTACCTTCTAGTTATCAGCTATTTGCCTCATTCAGATGAGAAAATTTCAGAGGCACAAGTTTTGGTCATCAAGAAACAATGATTAAATTAGTAAAGATGAAAAAACCCTCAGTTAGTTAGAAGCATACGTAAACCAACTACAAAAAATTAGGGTGCAGCTTATTTCTACCTTTCTCGAGATTGAGAACCTGAAATTTATTATTGAGGCTTAATATGACCACAAATTTGGCAAAAGGCTTTAGTTGGTTGAAAATATAGCTCCCATTGGAAAACAGCTGCTGCATAAAACTATTCAAACATGATTCATGTCTTTAAGGTTAACACAGAGAACTGAAGTAGAACCACCTATATGATAAGGCATTTATAGGATCTAATTTTCCAACTAAAACATACATTGCATCTGCATAAACCTATTCTAATAATATTATATAAAGCTAAAAGTACAAAGACAGCTTCAAATGACTTATTCAAGTATAATCAGTTGGCCCTCTATTGGAACATACTGTGCAGTATGACTCCATTGACAATATACTCTAATTGTAACTAAAGCATAAGAAGGAGAATAAGAGTTAAAAAACATAAAGAAAGGAATTATTAAAGAAACAGGGTGGTAAGGGGATGGTAAAGTTGATATATAAACTTCCCGTCAGACAAATAATATGGCTTCAAATTAGTCATTGAAGCTCTGCTGATTCAATTTGACAAGCCATCATAGAAGTGAAAAAGATAGTAACGAAAGCAATTTCAACAAAGTCCTTTAAGATCATGCTCCTCTTATTCTTTGCATGCATTCTTTCCCTTATTGATATGATGCTAAATGGTAAAATAAGGAGAGGTGCCAAAAAATAACAAAAAAAATCTTGATTTTAAAATCCTATTTATCAAACCAGCATATTTGCAGGTCAATTAATTATAAAAGCATGGATGAAGAGAAAGCCACCTGCAATGTGATTGCTTCAGTTTATTTATAAATATTGGCATCAAGTTCTTTACAAACATTATTTAAATTGGTATGGACTACATCAATTGCACATAGTCGCAGCTAGAAGTTTATTTAAAAAAGATAAACGTTAATTAGAGTATTACTATATATTACGTCATGACAAAAGGAATGCTAAATTAACTGAAGAGAAGAAAATTCTAGGTCCTTGCAGATTGAATCCTAAATATTCGCATTCTGTATCAGATCAAGTGAGACTATACGGTCAAGTTCCCACAACAAAAAGTATCTAATAAACTATAAGATGGGCAACTTGAGCTAAAATGGCTTTCCATCCACATTTAAATAGAAGGATTTGAAAAGCTGACCGAAATGGTTGTGGAGCTGATGGATGATGAGGGTGGTAATGAGATGAAGACCTAAAAATTACTGCTTTCCTGAATTAAAGGCACAGAACTATGAAAATTCTTCTCAGCAATATGAACAAAGTTTCAAAAAGATGCTAGAATTTCAATTGATGGACAAAAATATTGACAATGTCATCATTCTCTAATATACATTGCCTTGTATTGACCTCTGAGAAGACTTCCGCACTATTGAAGTAAGGGCAAACCTACAATGTACATATTCCTGCCAAAAATAGCTGCCTCTTTTTCATCTATCATACCCCTTAACAATGGAATATATTTCCATAATCATCCAGAATTTTAGAGCTCCCATACCGATAGAAGAGCAGAAACAAAAGGAGAAATAGACCTCATTAGGCAATCAAGATCCGTCAAAGCTCCTTTAGCTGGCAAAATAACAAGTCCAAAAAAAAACAAAAATCATTCTAGGATTTAAAGAGAGAATTATAAAAACAGCTAAAAAAGGAAGAAAGGTTCATACCATAATGCATAACTAAATATCAGTTTATCTATGTTGGTCTCCAGAAATTAATACTAGGGAAGTCTGTTCTGGATATAATTGGAGGGAAGGTATGGCCTGAAGAAAGCAGAAGACAACAAATTATTAGGAACTGTATAATAATGTGAAGTAGATTTTTGTCATTACAATTAAAAGTACCAGGTAAAGGAGTTCCAGATGGTGTCGTGCTATGTGGAGGATGAAACATCATAGAACCTGAAGATGCTCTTTCCATATTTAACATAAAATAACCTGCAACTTCAATAATTACCTCAATTTAATAATCCTATCTAAGGAGGAATATTATCTTCTTACAAGTGACAACACTTATCCAAATAACCAAGTAAAACAAGTGCTTAACGATGCTTTAAGTAAAGGGCTACAATAGTGACTTTCTAACAGATGATACCATCTTGACGTCCAAAAAGACAATGGTAATGAAATATTTGCATATTATTAAGAAATGTTTGTGAAGTACATCCTGATTTTAGCAAAGTTTGGTGCGGATCCATCAACATACATGAAATGACACATACCATCCTGTACAAAAGGTGCACCGGAACATGAAGGTGTTCTCCCCCCAGCCATCCAAGCTCCAGAATTTTCTGAGTTGGCATCACCAGGATGAGGCCTCCAGTGCTCCTCAGCACCATATTGCCTCTGACACTGTGGAAGAGATGATAAGGTGTAAGGGTTATATTGCTGCTGCAATCGTTGTTGTGTGATAGGATTCTCGTAAGATGAATGATTTGATTGCATCTGAGAACTTGGAAGGGGGTGACTTAAGGTTGCCTGTGATGGAAGTGAATGTGAAGGTCTATGCTGAACTGATGCAACACCTTGCTGAAAAAGTTGATTGGGGTGAGAAACCTGAGGCACTAAATATGTGTCATGTTGTCCAAATTCAAATTGTCTGGAGGATGTAATGCCAGTAACAGGCTGAGTGTAGCCAATTCCAGGAGCCACATAATTAGAAGACTGTTGCATAACCACTTCACCTTTCACTCCAGAACCACTAGGGTCTTCAATGGAATTGCTAGTTACCTGGAGTAACTGACTCTCCTGCAAGTAGGTGAGAAAGAAATTTCATACATATTCTAGCACCATATGATTACATACACAAGTTTAAAAGACTTACACTTTCTGTCCTGCAGTATTCCTGAGGAAGAGAAGGATGGCTCTTATATGGACATGGTGATGAAGGCAAAGGAGGGTGAGAGACAGATGATTCAGTTAATAGTGCAGGTAGAGGTACCAATGGAGGTGGTGGAGGGGGTGGCGGCGGTGATCGAGGTGGAGGTGGTGGGAGTGGTGGGGGTGATGATGGAGGTGGGGGTTGAAGAGGAGGTGGTGAAGGAGGCAATGGTGGTGGTGGAGGTGGAGGATCTACAGGAAGAGGAGGAGAGCCTGCAGGTAGAGGTGGGATGACATTTTGATGGTTACATGTAGATTCCTCAGCCAGGTTACATTCTGCATTTAGAGGTGCAAAATTTATGGTATCACTTCTATCCACAAAATTTGCTGGAACATCTTCCATCTCCATCTCTTGTTCCACATTCTCCAAAATATGGTGATGTCTGTCAACGGGATGATTTCCAGAAATATAACCTCCCAAACCAACAACTGCTCCTTGGGGAGAATTATTTGCAATACCCTTAGAGGGACTGCAGCAAAAATCTTCATCTTCTTCTAAAACGTGAGCAGATAGTAGACCAGGAAACTTGAATGTTGCATTGCTGGAAGCATGTAAAGATATTCAATCAGTATTATTATCAGATTTGCCATAAAATATAGAATTCTATCTTCAACATTGGAAAAAAACCATTAATATTCCAATTTAACAGACCTATTCACGAAAATAAATAAACAGAGCTTAAAATAACTAATAAGACATTGCATGTCAAAAGCATAGTTAGGATTAATATTAAAAAGGTAAAAGTAAGAAAAAAAGGGTTTCTTCAAAATGAAGTTTAAACATCACAATTTACAGGAAATTGATTAATAAATTACCTAATATATACAAGCAGCTAAATCAAAATTCGTATAAGTGATACATCAAGCACTATGCCCAACAAATAGAGAAATGCCATAAAATTCAAGCAAGTGTTTACATTGAGAAAACAGAAAGGTAATAAATAATTTATCACCTTCCATACTCATCTACAAGCATGTCTTCCATTTCTCTGATTGGATCATCTACAGATCTTTCAGCACGAGATGGACGCCTAAGAGAAAGCCCGGAAATCAAATCATCTTTAGAAACATCAATTTCTTCCATACAGTGACGAAGAATTGATTCTGGTAGAATTTTCCTCTCCAGCCATAACCGCAAAACCTTTGGCCAACATTACAATTTTATTAGTTTCTTTTATTAACAAGAGTTGCAATAACAAATATAAATTTGACACGGGAATTACCTTAAGACATTGTCGTCGATTCTCACGAGCTGAAGCTCCAGAAGGAGCAGCAGCACCCAAAAGGCGTGGCAATGCTGCTTGCACAACAGGAATATAAGATGACCCTGCAATGCCTGAAATAATTCCAGATAGCAAAGGGTTAATTGATATCCAAAAAAAGATTTAGGATGGCTGATGCTATCTCTCTATACAAATGAGCTATATACATTCCCTATCTCCTTCCTCTCCTTCACACACTCACAATCTCTGCATGTGTGTGTAGCCATATGTATCAATAAATATGCAAGTGCACATGGTTCCAGGATGGGGAAAAATCTGCTTTGATTGATTGAGGTCATAAGAACGTCAAGGAGTATAACCAACAAAAAAACCCAAAAAGCATATAAACTTTTACAGAACATGCAGGAAGGCTTGTGCAAGATCTTACCTTTCTGATTATGTGAGCATTGAGTAATAGAATCCACAAGAAAGAACAGATCTATCCGGCGATAAAAGCTGGGTTCACCTTCCAATTTGCGGATGAGAAGTTCTATGATCTATGCACGTGCAAAATTTCAGATCACTAAAAACTCTTTTACAAACTAGGACTGAAATTAAGCATGACATAATTTTTCAACCCCATAAATCAAGAAAAACAAAATCTTTGATTTTTTCTTACAAAGAAAAACACAGATAAAAGGGATACTGTTAGAGAGCTTACCACTATAAAAGAAAAAGACGTGTGATACCATCAACTTAAAATTTAAGCAGAAAAAGGATTAAGAAAAGGGTCTAGTAATTATTAAAGGACTATAACTGTAAAGAAGTGCTCTGGTGGAACAAAAAGTGGCTATGAAAAAACAGGAGTAACTATTTATTCCAGCATATTGATAATATAGGCATCAATGATTTCAAAATTAAAGAAATACTAACTTGAAATGTTAATTATTAACGTTACACACACCTCATTAGCAATACCATACTTCGCACAGTCAATAGCAAGACGAGTTGCACGCCCTATACTTTCCCTTGTTCGTGACAATGTCTCTATCATTCCCTCCAAAGCATCTCGAGCAACAACAGCTTCAGTGCCACCACTTGAAGAATTGCCGGGTTGTTGGTAACCTGTACAAGGTCTACAATCATAATCCTCATGCTCTTCCAGATTCACAGCAAGACACTGTTGAGAAGCTGGAGGGGAATCAGCATCTGCAGGCACTTGAAACCATTTCTTATCTTTCTGGACATCTACGGTTGAAAAAAGATGTGCAGCAGAAATAAGGTTTGGGCTTCTCCCATGGCTACGATGTGGACTAGAAGCAGAGCCGGCAGAACCATTTCCATTGTATGCATGCTGGGAATGTGCTTGTCTCCTTTTAGCTTGAGCAGCAGCAATAAGATGTCTCATTGACATGGAATCCGTAAATTTGCTCTCAGTCAATGCATCGGTAAAATTGGCCTCCCTAACAGTATCAGATTAGCAGAAAATTAATCTTTAGTTATCTTTTCCCAGAAAAATGTACAAGTGGAAAGAATTACAAAATACAAAAGAACGCATCAGTGAAGATGTACCTTTGGCCTATCAGAACATCCTTCTCAGCACTGCAATCTGCCGAAAAATTGATGTCATGCCTATTTTCAGTATCCACAGTCACCTGTATACCGGATTTCACTTTAGATTTCTCCAAAGATGGTTTATTCTTCTGCAAAATTAACTGACTACGTGAATTGTTTGTGGTTCCCATAGTTTTGATCGAACTATGAGTTTGAATAGAATTCACAAGGGCTGGTAGTTTTGTAATACGAGGCTTGATATCCTTGTGACTAACCAATTTTCCAACATTTCCCGGGCTAATTATAGTTTCAAGTGCAGTACTCTGTGCTCTAATCTCAGGTGCAGCAGTTTCTTTCTCTTTTTGCTTCATGGAATTCTGGCAAGCAAGCAAGTCTATCGCACTTTCCAACCTTTTATCATCAATATTACAGGGGCTAGGAGCTAAAGAACGATTATTAACTACATTTAGAAATCCCATATTATTTTCTGTACTTTCCTTCATCCTAGCGCTAACATTTCTGACAGTAACTTTTTCAGCATTTGAAAGAGGAAGATCTGGAGTAGATTCTATGGAAGATTCCTGCTTTATGTGCACTTTCCCAACAGATTCATGCGCCGTTGAATGTTCCCTCAACAAAGTTCCAGTAGTATCCCGATGAATTGGAGTTCTACAGTCTTCACCATCATCATCATCCTCATCAACATACCGCAGTGCTCTCCTTTTTGGGGGAGCATGTGTACCAAGGGGTTTAGAACTCATCCTTTTAACACCACTGTTGCTCTTCTTACTTGCGTCATCACTGGAGATTGAAAAATTCAGAACATCACCTGATCCTTTACATGCCTTTTTAGCTATATCCGCAATGGTAACTGAAGAATTTAAAACATCATCTGATTCCTTACATGGCTTCACTAAATGTGACTGTTTCATTGTATCATAAGACTCTGCCATGGATTCTGCGTTAATATCAGCTTTTTGAACTCCCAATGTTCTTTTCTTGACACTATTCTTACTCTTGTTGGATGTGAAAGGAGACAACTCACTCTTACTGGAGCATTTAGGCATATCAACTCCCTTGCCATTTTTTGATCTTTTGGTCAAGTGAATATCATCATTATTAACCAGCTTACGTTTTATGCTGCCAGCTGAATCGTCACCCTTAAAGTCTAGAGATGACTCTGGAAGCATTGCTCCATCAGAAGTAGTGGGCTTTTCCTTGAAAACACCTTTAGGTGGCATATCATTTTCAGCTGATTTTTTCTTGGAATTTTTCGAACTGCCATATCTTTTTACAGAGTTAACACGTATTCCTAACTTTTTAGAATCTCCAGAAAATTCTTCACTGATAGATTTAACTCCACCTTCAGAAACAGAAGCACGAGTTGCAGGTGGACGCTTCTTTATTTTCACTTGTCGGACATGATCATTTTGCACTTTCAGATCGACATCCACTTCATTTTTCAGTAAAGCGACTTCAGTTGATATTGCTTGATCATTTGTGTCTTCCTGCCGTTTGCTATCTATAGTTTCCAAATATGAAGTTGGGACCTTAAGATCTCTGTCATCTGTAGGGGGTTTCAGAGAAGTCTCTACAACTTTGTTTACAGGGAATGTTTCACAAACACTTTGGTGGGTGTCATCCAGATGAACAGTAGCTTTTTCCTCCAATATATCACCATCATAAGCAGGTTCAGCTACAGTCGCTCTTACTTCTTTTGGCCTTTTTTTGTTATGAACTGATGATTTATTTCTCTTAAACGACAGGACTGGAGATTCTGGCTCACCGGCAACATCATTTAGCTCAGTTATGTCTGTTCTCTTGCGGCTCTGCGAGCATGGTTCTAAATGCAGTTCACTGATAGAGCCCAATTTTTTATCATTTTCAGAGTTATCAAGGATTACATTCTGAACTTCCAATTGATCCATGTCATCGCAGCTGAGATGTCGTTTACCTTCATCACCAACAGTCGATGAAGATATAGAGCCAAGATCAATCTTAGAAGAGCCTTCCCCCAATTCATTTGACGAATTCTGCAATTTTTCAAAAGCATCACAGATCTCCTCCACAGCTTGAGCAAAATATTTGACAGTTTTACTCTGACATCGAGTTAATAGCTTGCTTTTTGATTCATTGGTAAATATTTCAATGTCAGCTGGGGCAACAAAAGCACTGCAAAAAGAATTCAAAGGAAAATAAGAAAGAAGCAACCATTAAAAAGTTAAAAATTGTGTCTACTGGTCCAAGCAATATGAAAAAAATTAACATGATTTTTCCAATAAGATTAAGATAAAAGTATTACTTGCCTAGACTTGACAAAGTCCTAGTTGGATTCTGTCCTTCGACAATGAGTTGATTCCCCTAATTTTCCTTCTATTTGATTCGCTAACTAGTACAGCTATATCCTTATTATATGCCTTCCCAAAAGAGGCCAAACTATAGTTTCACAAAACAATCCAATCTTCACTTCCAATCAGAATGGAAAACAAATCATAGTGTTGACTACCTCATCTCTTATCACGAAACTAGAATCAGTTAGAAGTAGAAAAGAGCAAAGGCTATGAAAGAGGTTAAGCTGGAAATATAGTGACAGTTCGTTCTTCATATTCATCTAGATCGTTTCGAGATTGAAGTTTATAAAAAGTTTCAGCGTATTCCTCAACTGTTTAGTTTCCTTGACGAAGATTGTTAAATTCTTGGAATAAAATTCGTGAGTGATCTGAAGGTTAAAACTTTCCCCTCATCTTTTCATTCATCCTATCCCAAGTTTGAATTTTATCCTTCCCTCGTCTTAGCCTATTATTTTGGAAATTTCTCCACTAAGTTAAAACATGACCTATGAGTTTTAAGCTAGCAAATTTAACTTTTCTATTATCAGGGATTTCTTTTTGTTCGAAAAGTTTGTCCATTTTTTCTATCCATTCAATGAATCATTCAGGTTGTAATTTTCCTTCGAAGTCATGAACATCAATTTTTATCCCATGACCCCAATTTCTATGACGTCTATTTTGATTCCTAGAGATTTTTTCTTCACTTTCAGAATTTTGAGCATTAGCATTGTTAACATTCAAATTTGTCAAGGTGTTAGCCATATTGTTTATTTGTTGTTGTAAGTTTGCCAATTGTTGCGTCATTTGTTGCCAATCTCCTTTGTTGTTTTAATTAGCCATTTTGTTTCAAAAAAAAACTCACACACCAACTTAGAATATACTAGCCTAGGCTCTGATACTAAAACTTGATGCAGACAAATAGATTAAATGCCAAAGGAGAACACTAAGGCAAGAAGAACTTTTCTCAATTCAACTTTTAGTAAGCCAATACCAAGTAAACCTCAAAACAAATGAAAGTTGGACAATAAATGAAAACAAAAATAAAAATAAAACAAACTACTCTCAGAACAACCAGCTAGTGGTCACCTCACATGCATCGAAATAGTAGGTAAGATAATAAGTGCTTAAAGACATGCAAACCAAAGGTCCACCACAGCAACTTTGGGCCAAAGATCCACCACAGCAACTTTGGGCCAACATCCACCACAAAACTCCTCCGGCAAATGCTAACAAACTGGCCAACCAACACCTTCAAAAGCTTCAGAAGAAAGATACAAGTGGGGTGGAAACTTGTGGAGAGAAGTAGGTAAGAAGCCCGAGACGAAGTAGAAGAGAGGAGAAGAGAAAGTGGATAAAGCTCGCAAGCTATCCAAGAAGAAAACCCTCAGGTTTAAGTAATTTTCACTCACCCAAATTTGCTCCCAAATACCACAAAACAACCACTATTTATAGGAGAAAAGAGGGAGCCAAATAGCCCAAACAGCCGCCCACCCAGAGGAAAAAGGCCAACAGGTAGCCCGATGGAGCAGCACCCGAAGGGCCAGTGGGACAGCCAACGAACAGACAGCGCCAGGGGAGAAGGAACCGGGCAGACAGAGGAAATGAAGGGCCAAAACAGGGGGGAATAAACTCGGTAGCAGCATTAATGAGTTGAAAAAGGCAACAAAACTCAGCAGCCAACTAATCTAGACAGCAAAACCCGAAACAACCAAACCCAACCCAATGAGCTTGGGTCAAACCAAGTCAGCCCACAAGCCTAGGCACCAAAGAAGCTAGCACACCAAAGCAATGCATGTCCAAGAGCACAACCTACACATGATCATAGGGTAAAAAAAATAAAAATCATAAAATTCAAATTACAATATAGTTCAAAATAAAGATTAAAATTGAAATATCCATGCATCACTTATCAATCCTCTATTTCCAGGCATAATAAGCTACATAAGATCTTAGTCCTATTCCTATTTAGCGCATGTTATTTTGCATAATTTCTAATCATTGTATCTTTCATCTAGTTTTTTCTTTCTTAATCATTCAAAGTTAATTCCATCTACTTGTTTTTTAGTGCATAATTTACTCTTCATTGTGCATGTCCAAATCACAAGTCCATTTCCTGCAGTTCAACTACTTTTTTCTCCAACAGTGCTACTCCAATCGTAAGTCCGATATATTCACATTCCAAGTTTTACCAAACAATGGTCACAGCTTTTACTTTTCTGTCACAATCAACTTATCTATCAGAAATTCATAACCCAACACTCGGATTAATAATTATTTATACCCTTTCTTCTTCCCTTCCTATTTCACTTATTTTAGTAGTTCTATGATCAGTCATGTTGCTTGCAACATCAATGTTTATCTATCTCATCAGAATCATGTTGTATGCTATCACTGGGATAGATTTTGATTCAAGCTCAAGCTACACCTATTCAAAGCTACAACTTCTTTTTTTCTTTTTTTTCAAAATCTTAAGTTGACATTCCACCCGATTTCCATGCACAATGCCTATTTCAACATACCATTTTTTCATGTTAACAATGAGTAAATGCGAGACTAAAGAAACTGTACCAAAGAAGAAAGAATTTTGGTACTTCATCTTAAAAGTAAAGTGAGCAAGTAAAGCCTCACTGTCGAATCAGAAGTTTATATCTAAGCGCAGAAAGTAAGCATAAGGTATCTCTACTCACATCTCAGAAGTTCCAAAAAACTCCACAAAGTACTTCCTCGGATCAGGCGACTTGTTCCAATCTTCCGGCCTACATATCTGTACCAAATTGAACAAAAATCAAATAAGAATTCTACCACAAAATAAAATAAAATAAAATAAACTAATAATTGTCCAGAGACTAATAATACAGACATTATACAAACTCCAGCAATTCTTAATCCTACCAATTCCTTCCCAGCCAAAAAAAGCAATGACCAATATATTGCCGAAATTAAAAACAAGCTGAATGAACACAAATGTTGCCTACTTCCATATCACCAAAAATCAAGAAAGAATAAAACCAAAAACCAAAAAAGGCCAAATCCATTGAAAGCGAATCACATTGTAGTCCCCAAAAAATAAAAGAAATACTGTCTATGATATAGAAAAACAAAGAAAAAAAAAATCATCTTACATCCACCGGCACCTCACAACCTCTGCCTTCCCAGGTTAAAAGGAAAATCCCACAATGGATAAGGAGGATTAAACTTTGGGTGGAAAGCACAAATCATCGGACGCACCTTCGCTGGCCACGGAGGGAATCCCTTGACCTTCGCAAGAACAAGATCCCCAAGCTGTAAATCACCCGTCGCCTTGGGACGGTTCGCGCCCCTTTTTTTCCCGGGAGGCATCACGATAGCGGCACAAAAAACCCTAGCCACAGAACCTGCTTCGCTGGACGCAGAAGAGAATTAAAGCCGGGTGAAGATAAGCCAACCCTTAGCCTTAAGATAGAACACGCTTCACGAGATGGTTCAAAACAACAAGACGCCTACGCTGCCCGAGCGCGATTATCGACGGCGATCGGCACTCGGCGGCGGCACATCATTACCATACCACGTCGGGCGCGAGGAACTGCATAGAGCGTACAAAGAAAGATGCGTGAGAAAGAGAGCAGCGGTTTCGCATTAAACCGGCTACAGAATTTTTTTCGGTTCGGTTCGGCTCCGTCGGAAGCCGACCGATGATTGACACGCGGCATAAATCCCTGTTATTTAGAAAAAGGATTAACGCCCTATTTTTTTTGCCAAAAATCTACCTTCTTAACTCTTCTACCGCCTTTATATTGGCGGCTTTCATGCTGCTTTTTATAATATATTTTTTTTAAAATTTTTATACTAAATAATATTTTTGAGAAGTAATAAGAAATTCGTCCCAAACAAATCCTAAATCTAATCCAACAAGTTTGTTCTTAATTATCTGTCCAATAAGTCATAATTAGGCCTCTTTATATTCTTTGCCTCAAACATTTAAAGAGTAAGTATATGATGATATATGATTTCGAATCTCAAACATGCATAATTGTGCCAACTTTGTAGTTGACAAGCTCCATGAATACTTTAGAATTTCAATGGATGCTCCGAATTTTTTTTATTTATCGGTCATAAACTTAAAATTATTCTTCATTACCTATAAACATAATTTATTCTTCAAAAATCATATTTGCTCTCAATAAGATGCATAGATTTTATTTATATCAAAGAAAACTAGAACATGAGTTCATTCTATTAGTTGATCTTTTCAAAGAAGTAGTTATCAATATCTTCTTTATATCAATAATTTTTAATGTTATTTACTAGCTACATAAGAACCATAAAAACTACACTCATTTATTAGATTTAGCTACATCACATAAACGTGTGGTAATATCTAATAGATAATTTAGTAATGAAATACCTATGAACCCATCATCTTCTTTGTCATTACCCTTAACTACTATAAAACTAATATATGCATCATTAGTAGTTATTGGACTAATTAGCCTCACCACATGCTCAATTTAATACCAACACTTTTTCTTTTTTCTTTTTTTGGAATAACTTTTTGTAATATTCATGTTAATCAAGTATTTGAAGTCCCCTCCGCAAAGTTTGAAGAAGATGTAGAAAATGAGTTGATCGAGATAATTCTTATTGATGGTGATAGACAAAATGCTAATAATATCTTGTTTATATAATAATTCTATCTTATATTTTCCCTACATAGTTATAAAATAATAGTGTCATGGGTGTTTGATTCTCTTTTATTTTATGTATAAGTATGACTGATCTTTTAGTATGATAGTAACAAGCTATATAGATGCCATGATATGATGAGTCAAGAAGAAATTATTTTGGAGTGTTTTCTACAAGAAGTTAATAGAATTGGATGATGACCTAAACTTTATCTTGCAATGGAAGATGATGAAAAAACTTTATTGAAGTTTTTTTTATGGCTTATATATGGTTATTTGTATGAGTATTACATGATGATGTTAATCTATGATGGAAGGGCGAATCAAATCCTCTAATGATTTATTATACCTTAATAAAGATGGGGCGAATTTCATGTCTTAAATAAAAAATAAAAATTGATTTGCCTTTGGACTGTTATTATCCTTATGATATCATGGTTGTGATATTGCCCAATAAGTAGATGACCAATTAGGGATTATGTGTAAGTTGTTAATTTCATTTTATTTTTTTATAAACTTTCTCATATTAATAAGAAATTATGCATAAACTAGGTTTGTGTAGAGTCATTGATAATATATTTAATATTTTTTGTAATTTAAGTTTGAGGTAAAAGCTTCCCGTCTAAATATTTTAGCATGAATGTTTCTAACTTGACAATTGCAAATGCTACATAGGGTCTCTCTTAAAGGGGAGGGAGTTTATTGTGTTGGGATATCTTTTCAACAGCTTCAATGCTTCATAAGATAATATTTTTGTGTGTACTCCTTTTATCATCATATGTATTCAAATTATTGATGTGACGTCTAAGGAGGAATACCTTAATTTCTTTATTGTTCACATTTTATTTGATGAGATTTTTGGGCACAATCTTCTTGGTCGACATTTCTTTTGCTAGATAAGTATTCAAACTACTTCTAGTGTGCATCAATACACTACAGAAAAATCGTCAAAAACCGGTGGTTTTTTCCGGCGGCTTAGATGGTTAAACCGACGGTTTTCAAAACTACCGGCGGCTTTTCGACGGTCCTCAAGCCGCCGGTAAAAATGGCGTAGGAAATAATTAGCGGCGGTTTATTTCCGGCGGTTTTATTAGCCGACGGCTTTCCGGCGGCTAACACCGCCGGTGATTACCGGATTTTGTACCGGCGGTGTTCCGGCCGTTGAGCCGCTGGTTATTTTATCGACGGCTAACCAGCGGTCACTTCACCGACGGCATGCCGGAGGTTAAAGCGGCCGTCGTGCATTCAATCAACCGCCGGCTAGCGTCGGTTTACTACCGGTAAAATTGTCGGCGGTTACCCGACGGTCATGGCCTACGGTACTACCGGCGGTTTACATCGCCGGGCTTTCACCAGATAACCGCCAGTGGCCATCCGTAACCGCCGGTATATTTCCGGCGGTGTAAGGAAATTATCGACGGCGTCAATCAGCCGTCCGGTATCGAGGTTTCCGGCGGCCAAACAGCCGGTTGGCCGCTGGAAACCTGTAGTACCTGAAAAAAATTTGACAGCATTCCCTCTATTTGAGGGAGGTTTACCCTAAATTCTAAACCTGTAGAAATAGCAATACATAATAAGAAGTTTTGGGCAACACGTCGCTATATCATCACAACTATATACATAAGCACAAATTAAACAAACAAGTTTACAATCAAACATTAAAAAGTTCTAAATAAGTTCATCAAACATAAAACAAGTTCACAAGTTCTAAATTTAATAAGGTTACAATCACAAGTTCACAAGTTCTAAATACAATCATCAAACATAAAAAAGATCTAATTCTCAGATGTATCCTCACTGTCTGGAGATGGTTGCTCCTCTTGCTCCTTCTTTCTTTGATTTTCAACTCTGTAGAATTGCAGTTTTGCTTGCATTTCATTTTGAACCTTTCTCATTTCTTTAATCTCTATAGGTTTAAGTCGTTAGTAAGCCGCCGGTAATATTGAGAGCCGGCGGTTTATCCGGCGGTTACATAACTGTCGCTATTACCGGCTGTTTAACGTTACAAAACCCCCAGTTAGGCCGCCGGTAATAGCTGACGGCCAAACCGTAGTTCTTACCGGCAATCCTATAACCGCCGGTCATGACCACCTGTAATCGGCATTTTTCCTGTAGTGATAAGTGTTGAGATAGTTGCAACTTAGTTCTTGATTGTTGATATTCATGCAACATGTATGTTTTTTATGATTCCAAATATTATTGCTTTGATTATTATTTCTCCTAACATATTTTAGATGCATTGTTTTGTTGTTCGTGTGTACTAACATTTCAGAAAAATCATACTCTGAATTATTGAAGACTTTAAATTAGATTAGTTTAGGATTTATTATAAATAAAGTCTGTATTTTTATTTTATTGAGTATGAGATAGTGTGATTGTTCTTGAACTGTTCGTACATATGAACATATGATCGTACTATACGATCGTGTATGGTCAAAATGGATAATTTCAATTTTCTTGGATGGTTTCTTATGTCTTTGATATAAAAGGTTCTATAAAATTGACGTGAAAAAGAGTCTTTTTCATGATTTTTCAAGGGTAATTGAAAGAGAGAGTGTGGAAGAGTGTTTGAGAGAGATTTCTTGCAAATGGAGTATGAAGGGTTCACAAGATTGCTCAAAGGTAAGGATCTCTTTGTGTTTTTGATTATCACTCTTCTTTTTATCTTTCTAGTTACTCGTGAGAAGATCTTTGAAGAGGACGATGATACTCTGTCGATACTTGGAGGATGTGAACAAACGATGGTACTCTGTCGACACTTGGAGGGTGTAAATAGATGACGGTACTCTGCCGATACTTGGAGAGTGTGAACATATGACGGTACTCTGCCGACACTTGGAGGGTATAAATAGATGAGGGTTCTCTGCCGACACTTGGAGAGTGTGAAAGGAAAACAGTTTTCTACCGCACTAGGAATTGGTGGAATAGATGATTTATAAAGGCTTATCTGTCTTACTGTGGGGGCTAAATGAGAGACAATTTGGTAATAGTGTTATACCTGAAGAGGGAGTCTTCAGGGAGTGGATGTAGGTCATGTTTTGATCGAACCACCATAAATCTTTGAGTCTTTTAATTTTCACATTTATTTATTTATTGCAAGTTATTTACTGTGGTTGAAAAGTTTATTTTAAAATTTAAAATTAACTTGCTATAACATTCAAAATAGTTTTTGATTTAAAAATCTAAGAAAATTATTTAAATTACCAATTCATCCCCCCCCCTCCTCTTGGTTAGTCTTGAGACAATAAATTAGATTTAATAACCTAATCAAGAATCAACAATAAGCTCATCTATAACAATTTGTTCCTTCACTTTATAAAAAATATTAATATCAGAGCAAACTATCTACTTCATTAATGATGATTAGAAAGGCATAGGTTAGAGTTCTCTAAGAAAAACATCTTATAATAACTTAGGATTTAGTCCAAATCCTTGACAATCTTCATAAATAAAATATTTGAAATTACTCATTTAAATTTCTCCTGAATTTTGGTGGATACCTAACAGATGGGAAAAATTCTTGACAATTCTTTGATTCCTATGAATTGTTCGATAAAATTTTGATGAGATGGGTAAATTTATGGATGGTTCTACGTGTTAAGATAGTTGCTATTTGAATGCTTTACATTTTTTGCATCTTATGTAAATTTGATGATTCCAAACATTATTGTTCAAATGTGTAGTTATCTCCTAACAATTTTAGAAGATTTGTATTTGCTCTTGTGTGTACTAACATTTCAGGAAAAACGAACTCCAAACTACGAAAACTTCAAATCAAATTCAGAATGAGATACTTTGTAAAATTTGAAGTTTGCATTTCTTTGAAATTAAATTGAAAGGGAGTGAGTGTAATTGAGTGAATAAAAACATACACACACATAAGGAGATCATAAAAAATGTATACTGATCGTACTGGACGATATCCGTTCGT